GAAAAGATGCAGGGCTGCAGGAAGCAAGCCTGAGCACCTAACACGTTACTGGAATACTCGAGCGCCAGATTCCTTTGGCCTGGACATGTTTTTTTTAGTATGAAAGTAACACATGAACAAGATAAAACGCTCAAAGAACACAGCCTGACACACAATGATGAGGAACTGGTCTCCCTGCCCCTTGCTCCCTGGAGGCGGCCCTGCTCCACCCTGACTCACTATTCATCCTGAGGGCACCACATGCTGTGTAAGGCAGAGAAAAAGCGAGCGAGTGAGGCTACAGGAGGGACAGGGGTGTAGTAAGTGGATGTAACACAGTCGCCAGTAACAGCAGACCAAAAACATCCTGTCTTCCTCACTGAGAAGCTACTTAGAGGCACTGTCCCTAGCAGAAGCTCCCTTAGGAGCTTGCATCTCATTAACCTCTCGGGCACGGAAGGGGTTTCTTTCCGCCGCATTCCCACCACACCGTCCCAGCCGGTCCCCATGGTACCTCCTTGTCCTCCGTGAGCTTTGACAGCAGGTACACCAGCGGGTCCAGGCTCCGCATGTTTTTAGACTTCAGCTCATCATACTTCTTTAGGAAATCTTCTGGTGTACGAGAGAATTCTGCTATTTTAACCTTGAAAGCAGCATGAACATGAGTAATTTAATGACAGTAATTAATTATGCAGTTAACACACACCTTCAAGAAAATTCTACACAAAAGCCAAAGTTAAATCAGGGAGGCAACGTAATCACCTGTCCCTGAAGTAAACTAAGAAAGCTCACCAGCATCTTTGGTTAAACCGATCCATATTTTCTTTTAAGGTTTCTCTCATTCTACGCCTTCTAAGTCTTAGACCAGATGATAATCACTTCCATTTTTCCTAGCAGTTTATGCATTTGCTTTATACGTTATAATTCATTCTCTCTGGAACTTACTGTGATACACAGTCTCAGGGGTTATGTCTCACACAAGGATTCAGAATGCTCTCTTTATAATAAATTAAATATAACTGTGGGATCCTGAACTCTCGGTTCTGTCTAGCTAATTTTTCTAATCACCCTATGCCATTATGCAACTAAACAATGAAGCTTTATGATTTGTTTTTAACAAACAGATTTCAAATTCAAAACCATCTTCTACTGAAGATCTATGATTTTGAATATTACCTGAATAAAGACATGACAACTTAAAAGGATTTCACGTGGTTGGTGCCAGAGCCTCCCTCCTCCCGGGACACGGGGAAGGCAGTGGCTGAGAGTCAGGCTCAAGCTCCCTCCCTGAGCCTCCAGTTAGTCATCTGTAAGATGGGGGAGAGGCGAGAGCTCTCAGCTGTGCTGTGTGCCGCCATCTGCCTCCAGGGCGGCACTCACCTTGGCGCTGTGTGCAGAGACAGTAGTTGTGACGTACGGGGTCCTGTTCTTCTGCAGCAGGTCGATGTAGACCTCAGCCCCATCGCCCCCATGGATGCGCAGCAGGCTGAGCAGCTCATTGACATCGTGGTGGATCCGAAACTCACTCATGGTTCCAGCTCTGGGACACCAGCATCACAGCGTGAACTCCTGAGGGCGAGAGAGACACCGCTGATCAAACCAGACCCCGTAAACAAGACTTGAAAAGCAATCTAAATTGGTCAACGTCAGGCCTTTGTCAACCCAAAATCACCCGGGCCCAGGAGAGCCCTGCATGTGTGCCCCCACCAGACGTCACCACAACAGCCTTAAGCCTAAGCCACTGCTTCCTGTCCCAGCATGAATACTGAACTCCAGCCCCCAGCCCATGAGGCCCCTACTGGCTCTAAAACCCTGAGCCTTTCAGCTGCAGCTCCATTCCCAGCTCTGGCTGTGAGCTTCCGCTTCATCTGGTACCAGGAACATCTCCTCTTCTTGCTCTTACACTTGGCTATGTGTGCAAACGCTTTTGGTAAGATTCTACCCACTCCTTGTGCCCTTGGGCTGGACGGGGTCCCACCTGAGCTCAGTCTGCCCTGCTGGGTCCAAGGTTCTTGCCATTAGATACAAAACCAGGTGGACAGCAGTGGACTGCATGGGGACCTCCACTCTGCCACTGATGGCAGACCAGGCAGCCGTTATCGCCGAGAGCTGACAGAGGGGGTTAAGACAAATGCATGCAGCAATCACCAGATTCAAAACACAAATGGGGCAGACTTCACAGACTTCACAAAAACACTGCGGTGCCCAGTGCACAGGTCTTCGTCTAGGCCCGTGAATAACAGAAGTGCCTCAGAAATGAGATGCAAAATCATCTGTGAATTTTCTAAGGAGGAGGGGTTTTTCACCAGATTCTCAAAGGTTCTGTGATCCAAACAACATGCAACTTACTAATAAGTATTAATTTGGAACTCCACATCGAGAAAGCTAGGCTCCAATCTTGTCTAATGGAAAACGGCTTCTCGGGGTATACAGATATCGTACTTTCACGGTACATAAACATCAAATACTGGTCGGAGGCAGAATGTCTCCAACAACAAAGTGGAACACCAATATGAACTGGTGGTAAGTCTCTGGAGCATGCATGTCTGCATCAAGAAGTACTCATGATTAGAAGATGAGAAACACAGGACGTGGCCATGGAGCCCCAGGCAGGCTCAGCCCTGACCCAGCTACTTCCCAGCTGCGGTACCCTGGGCAGGCAGCCTGTCCTTTCTAAATCTCTAACCCTCAGGTGCCTCATCTGAAAAGGGGGAAATGATAGTACCCACCCTACAGAGCTGCTGCGGATTAAATGATTGTCATAAAGCACTGGAGCGCCCACACGCAGTAAGTTCTGCAGCTGTTATTATTTGAAAAGCAGAAACAATTGCTGCTGCTGTCACTACAAAAGGCCAACCCTCTGGAAACGGTGACTCCATTATCTGGAAAACCGAGAGTTTCACAGACAGAGAACTGGACCAGTGTTACTCCAATATCAGTTCCTCGTTAATTGCAAAGGGGCCTGAAGAAGGCAGGTCGAACCACACGCAGAATAGGAAAACCCACAACTCCAGGGCTGACGGCTTCTCGAGGACTGTGGGTTGTCCTCTGCTTTTGAACTGAAGATCATTTTGGTAACACAAAATGGCAAGGACATTTGTTTGTTGCTAAAACGAAACACCCTCCACCAGGCAAACGCAGGCAGTGAGAGCTACTTCTGAAAAAAGACTGTTTAACTGAATATTGTTTTAAAAAGTCATCTTCTGGAAACTTAACATTTGTGAGAAATAAAAGCACAGACATCCCCACATCACAACCATTAATACTGTAAGGAGCCTGCTGTTCTATCTGGATTTGGGGAACAACTCATACAAGACGGCAATGCTCAACTGCAGGTAGTACCATGCCTGAGGGGACCTGTGGAAACGTGTAGGGGCAACTTTTGGTTGTCACAGTGACTGAAAGAGTGCTCGACTTAGTGGGCAGGATGCAGGAGCACTGTCCCACCAAAATGCCAGTAGTGTCCTTACTGAAAAACAAAAACTCAATGGCACCTAACAACGTAAGAATATTTCATCTTAACAGCTTCCTTAATCTTTTGGATGCTCCTGAATTCTCTTCTCTGTTCCTTGCCACAAAAGGAGGAACACAAACTCGCATGACTGAGCAGAACCTCTCTCCTCCTCACACTGTGTGTGAGCTACACGAGGGACCAGCGGGAGGAGGCCATGGTGCCGTACGTCACATTTTGCTGTGACAGAATGAGGCACACACTATTGGTGAACGACATTTGATTAGAACAGAGGAAAATGAGAGTCTCTGTTGAGAGCTCAAAGCTAATTGTACCAACTGCCTTGAAAATCATTATTTTACAACTTGGTAAAATGTCAAGAGCCCTAATGTTTTTCCAGAAACAGAAAAGTAAAGACACAATCCTCAGTATGAGATAAGACGAAAAATAGACTCTTGGTCCGTAACAGAAGCTCTTTCTAGGCCTGAGGATGACCAGGTGGGGCTGCAGACACAAATCTTCAGCTCCAGAGGGAAGCAGCTAAAAGCTTTTAGTTATGGTTGGCTTAATATCCTTATATTTTTATTATATACGAATCTCTTAAACAAACAGCAAACGCCCCCTCTTCCTTGCTATTGCATTTATAAGCCCTGCTCGATGAGGACATCTTTTGGGGGGGTGGGGAGTTTGTCCCTGTAAGCCACCCGGCCCATCCCCCACAGACGGTGCCACAGCGCCCGTGCTTCTCTTATGTCACCAATTTAATGGGATAACTGTTTAAGGAGTTAAACATCTGCCCCTCCTTCTCGGCTGTAGGCTCCAGGGCAGCAGGGACCCGGTCTGATGCTGGCACCCGTGCGCGCTGAGCACCTGGCACGGTCTCCAGCGCACGGATGCTGAGATGAGACTGGAAAGGCAGGCCGAAGACGCAGGGCTGACTGGCCTCCAGACGGCCTCTGGACTAAGGTAATGGGAAGTCTCTGAGGGCTTTAAGCAAAAAAGGGTTTCAATAAAACCTGAATTTCCAAATCCCACTTGGCCTCCAGTTCGGTGACTGGTGTGGAGGGAGCAAAACAAACACGGCCGCCGCGGCCGTCGGGCAGGAGACGGCAATGAGGGGTAGGAGTGCGTGAACCCGCACGATTCGGAGGTGGCTGCGAATCTAGGGTGAGAAGGGGGCCCCAGAATCTCGTTTTGGGACTTGAACCACTTGCCGACAGCAGCGGGACACGCAGAGGTCGCCTCAGGCCCCGGAGACGGGGTGTCGGGTCTGAGGCGCACAAGCGTGGAGCCCCGGGTGCGCGACGCTCCCAGCCCGGAGCCCTCAAGCGCCGAGGCTGAACAGGGCCGGAGAGGCGTCGGCCCGGCGGTGGCCGGACCAGCCGAGCACAGCGCGCAGGAAAGACCTCCGCTCCCCGCGTCCCCGGCCCGCCCAGGGCGCGCACTCACCTCAGACTCAGCGCCGCCCCGAGCCCGTCGCAGGCCGCGGCGACGGCGGAAGTGATGCGCGCGACGTCACGTCCGGCTCCGGACGGTGGCCGGCAGGCAGGGGTGCCGGCCGCGCCGGGCGATGCTGCTGCCGTCGGCTCTGCGCACCCGCCTGGCCGAGGGCCCGGGAGAGGCCGAGCCGCTGCCCGTGGTGCGGCACCCTGCGGCGGGAGCCGCGCCCTTTCGCTTCGCGGCGCGCCGGGGCCGCTTCTCGCGGGAGCACGAGTTCTTCGAGGTGCGCGGCGTGTGTGTGTGAGCGTATGTCTGTGTGTCTGTGTGAGTGTGTGTGTCTGTCTGCGTGTGCGTCTGCGCGTGTGTGTCTGTATGTGTGTCCGCGCGCGCGCGCGTCCGGGCAGTTGCCTGGTGGGGGCCGAGGTCTCAGGGGACGGAGCGCGACGCAGGGCGGGGCCAGGAGGCGCCTGGCCCTGCCCACCGAGCGTGTCTACTCCAGGATGGTGACGTGCAGCGGCATCTCTACCTACGGGACGTGCTCACACAGGTGGCCGAGGCGCCCGAGAGGCCCAGGTGAGCAATTCTAGTGCCCACAGCACTGCCCTCCTCTGGTGCCCATGCTGACCCCTCACCCCCACACTTAGCGCACACCCATGCTCCGCCCCCATCCGACGGCCTCTTGACTCCTGCCCCAAACCCCTTTCCTGTGCCCCTCCCCTGCAGACCCTGTCTCTGCCCTTAGTCTGGATGTTCCAGGAGCTCTCGCCCTGGGGTCTGCCACCAAAAAAACGGAAAAACCCATTGCCGTCCAGTCGATTCTGACTCACAGTGACTCTATACGACAGAGTAGAACCGCCCCTAGGCTTTCCAAGGCGGTAAATCTTTATGGAAGCAGCCTGCCACATTTTTCTCCCGGCATAGAAGCTGGTGGGTTCTAACGGCCGACCTTTTGGTTAGCAGCTGAGCACTTAACCACTGTGCCACCAAGGCTCTGCTACACTTACCTTTAATCCTCCTGGGAAGTGCCTCATGCCCTGGACCACCCTCCCAAGGTTTACATAGCTGGCTTCCCCACCTTCTAGCTTGTTTATGACAATTTAGTGCAGGAAAAGTGGGGTTTAGGATTGCAGAAGGAACACCCGAGGCTCCATTGGACTGCTTAGGGAGAACTGTCCACAGAAAATCAGAACGGGGCTTTCTGTCGCTGACTGACGGAGGGGCGCTCCTGTGAGCCCTGGCCTCCCCACCCAGGGTGCCAGAGTTCACCTGCCAGGTGGCAGGCTGCTGCCAGGTGTTTGATGCCCTGGCGAGCTACGAGCATCACTACCACGTGCTGCACAGCAACGTCTGCTCCTTCTGCAAGCGGGCCTTCCCCTCCGGCCACCTGCTGGACAGCCACATCCTGGAGTGGCATGACGCCCGCTTCCAGATCCTGGCAGAGAGGCAGGACATGGTGAGCAGTGACCCGTGCCATGGGGTTGGAGCCAGCGTGGTCTGGTGCCAGGGTCACCGTGTTGTCAGTGGGTACGGTAGCCAGGGGTCAGTGTGCCCCTCCCATCCCAGGGGCGCAGGGGCAAGGCCAGGGGCCCCTTCCTGCCTGGCACACCCGACCGTGCACTTCCCCAGAGATGAGAGCACCAGATGGGGGGCTCTGGGGTCACGACGGTGGGGTGGCGCATTCCATTTCAGTACCAGTGCTTGGTGGAAGGCTGTGAAGAGAAGTTCAAGACCAGCCAAGATCGAAAGGAGCACATGGTGAAGCGTCACCTGTACCCCGCGGATTTCCGGTTTGATAAGCCCAAGAAGAGCAGAGGGTATGTGCCGTTCCCGGTGTGTGTGCTGCTGTGCCCACACCACAGTGTCTCACTGCTCCCTGTTTCCAAAAGAAGCTTTTTGACGAACTCTCACATCAGGATGTAGATGCTGTGGTTAAGGGTCTGTGCATTACTCACTGTTAGGTTCAGCTGCAAGTAACAGACACCTAAAAACTGAGGGTTATTAGCCAGAGGACGTTTACACAAGTAGGGGTCATTTATCATGGGGCCCCCTCGCATCAGGCCCTCTGGTTTCTCATTTGTCCTGTGTGTGTTCATGAACACGACAGCATAACCACTTACCAGCCATGTGATTTTCTAGAGTGCGCCATATGTGGCTTGTTCATGATGACATCCAACACTTGAAATTGTGGGGAAGTAGCTCCAGAAATAATGGTTAAATTTGTGTGATGTTTCCCTGCCTCTTTTTTTAATTAACTGATTTTTCAGGCAAACCTTGGTAACCATCTAAAAATTGCACTCATCCAAGCCTTTTCAGAGTAACACGTTTCCCCAAACAGTACTTGCTGCTCAAATGAAACAGTTGTGAGAACACAGCGCGAAAGGAGATTCTGCAAGGACTAGCGAGTAAGACAACTTATTAGGACAAAAGCCCGCAGTGCTGTGCCACGTGTCTGTGGACAGCGTCAGGGACGAGGCTCTAAATATCTTACAGTCTCCAATTCCTTCAGTGAATTTCTCACTGTCCTGGAAGGGTATTTGGCACCCTTGGTAGGTATTTATCACATGGCCCCATAAAAATACTGTTTTCAAACGATGAATTATCATACTTAGATTAATAAAATGTGGTATTTATCATATAAATACTTACGTCTTTGTGCTAATAGTTCTCCTTTTCCGCATAGTCGGAAAGCTATACTTAGACTATGCCAAAATAGCAAGAAAATATCTTTGCAAGAAAACACAGTCTCTTCCCCGTGAGTCTGTTCCAGGGAAAGACAGGGCTGTGGGGGCTGATTCCACAGGGAGTCCCTGCCCACTTCGCTCTCCTCAGCAGGCCAGCCGCACCGGGGGCCACAATGCCCGTGTCAGCCAAAGCCCCGGCGGGTCACGGTGAGCAGTCAGAAGGGGACGCCATGGAGGTCTGCTCCGACGGACACGTGGCGCCCTCCCCAGTGCCTGCGGGCGAGAGCTCGGCCACACCAGGGCTCCCGGGGAGGCGGGCCTACAGCCACAGGTCAGTGGTCTCGAACATCTTCCTGGACTAGTGAGTCCTGGGCCTGACTCTGAATGGCGTTCTCACTCAGAAGGGGACACCCGTGTCAGCGTGTTCGCCTCAGCTGCAGGTAGCAGCCCGAATGTTCTGATGACGGGGGGGCTCCATTCTGGAAGCCCTGAAACACGGAGGCAGAGCACGGTGCCCTCTTGTGAAGGAACTGATGGTGGTTGTTTCCATTATGATCTGTCAGCCTGTCTGTCTAGTCTTAAATGTGGTTTTATTGGGTGAAAATTGATTTTAATTTCAATTCTGGAAAAATGTTTAACAAATGGAAAAGTCATCAAAAAATTCAAACTGATAGGAATTGAGCTTGTGTGTGCCTTAGCTGCTGGTCAGCTGCCTGGATTTGGCCTGTGAGTGAGTCCTGAAGGCCGAGGCACTCAGACTCCAGGTGGGCAGTGGCGGCAGGAGGTCTGCACCCAGAGTGGTAGCAGGAGCCGCCCTCCTGGCCCCCCTCCCAGAGTGAGTGTCTGGGAGAGTGTAGGACAGCTGGAGGGGGCTGTTCCCAGGTCCGGGTGTCTAACAGTGTGGAGAGTCCCGTGGGGCAGGGGTGCTGAAGAAGCGGGCCGCCTTCAAGTGAGAAGAAAGCACGCGCAGACCGCTGCGACAGGGGGCTGATGTTTGCAAGGGAGATGCAATCCCTGAACAGAACACCTTCCCTTCCAGAATTCCTGCCACCGTCTGTTTCGGTCAAGGTGCGTCACGGGGGTTTAAAAGCACCAAGAAGAGAAGCAAACACCACTGATGGTCCCAGCGTAGGGGTGACCCCGAGGCCTCCGACACCAGCCAGGGGGCGGTGCCTCCCAGCGGCGGTGGTTTCGGTCATGGGCTGCCTTTCTCACCCTGGGATCGGGCTGCCAGCAGCTGTGGTGTGGCCACCCTGGGGCCCAGGCCTCGGCTGTCCTCGATGTCTCAGCCTGTGGTGGGTGGTGTCCGTTACCAGGAGCAACAGGAGCTTGTGGCTCCTGACGGTGACGCAGACCACTGCCCAGGAAGGAGGTGGATTCTGGCCCTCGGCAGCGGGCGCCGTGAGAATCTTGTTTTTGAATGTGTAAAATAAATATTTTTCCCTAACAGGTTTTAGTCATGGTCTCTGCGTTTTTAACAAGATATGGGTATAGTGACTATTACCCTTGAGTGTGGTTTCAGTGTTCATTTTCCAAGGATTTCGTGGAGCCCTGCAGTTTCTCAGGTGGGGGCCGGGGTGATGTGGCGTCTACCTAGAGTCGTCAGTGACCACAGCTTTGAGGGAAACGCTCTATCCTCCCGTCCACTCCTCAGTGACCATTCACGTGCTAGGCGCCAGGGACCCAACTGTGAGCAAAACCAACCAGGAGAGCCCAAGTTAACAGAATGGACACGCGTGTCCTCACGTGGTGGCCAGTGCCGGGCGGGGGAGTGCAGGGCATCGCAGGGGTATTGTGAAGGGCTGGGCTGCGTCAGGAGGCTCCCCTGGGAAGGGATGTTGATGCCTGAAGCAGGAAAGGCCCTGGAACAGAGGGGCAGCAGGCAACCCACCCTGGAAACCGGAGCACATGCCAGTGTCCCAGACAAACGAGGGCTGAGCTCAGCAGTGTTCTCATTGACGGCTGTGACGGAGCCGTATGTGAGTTCCTCAGACGGCCGGAACAAAGCACCACATGGGGTGGTCAGGTTTTGACAAGGTGGATGTTGGCTGCAAAACCATTAAAAGGCCAGCTTGTAGTTAGAAATTCTCCAGAAGACTTTCCCCCTTTGCTTAGTGCCCTGGCAATTTTCCTTTTAGTTTTTGAGGAGATGGTGAAAACGAGATAATTTCATCTACTGAAGTATTAAAAACAAGATAAAACAATCACTTTTTCTACAGACACCCTTTCTGGGTTGCCTTGAGACAACCCTTAACCAAGAAGAATATCTGAGTGATAGAACAGGCCCCTCACCCAACTTACAGCAAGAGAAATAGAAATGAAACACAGAGAGGCCCCTTCTCACCCAAAGATATCACAAGAAAAGAAAGCTACAAACCAATATTTCTTAGGAATATAGATACAAAATCCTCAACAAAATACAAGCAAACTGAACTCAGCAAAAAAGAATTATATACCATGACCACATGGGATTTATCCCAGGAATGCAAAGTTGGTTTAAGATCTGAAAATCAACTAATGTAATATATCATAGCAATAGAATAAAAAAGAAAAATCACATGACCCTTTCAATAGACGCACAAAAAATTTTTTGACAAAACCCAACACCCTTTCATGATAAAAGCACTCAGCAAATTATGAATAGAAGGGAAGTTCCTGAATCTGATAAAGGGCATCTGCAAAAAACAAAACAAACCCATAGCTAACATCATATTTAATGGTTAAAGACTGATGCTTTCCCTTAAGATCAGGAATAAGACAAGGACATTCACTCTTGCCACTTCTATTCAACATTTTACTAGAGATTCTAGCCAGGGCAATTAGGCAAGAAAAATAGATAAAAAGCATTCAGATTGGAAAGGAAGAAGTAAAACTATCTGTATTTGAAGACGACATATATGGAAATTCCTAATGAATCCACTAAAAAACTATTCAAACCAATAAATGAGCTCAGCAAGGTTGCAGGATACAAGATCAATATACAAGTATCAATTGTATTTCTATATACTTGGAGTGAACACTCTGAAAAGGAAATTAAAAAAACAATTCCATTTGCAACAGCATCAAAAAGAATAAAAAACTTAGAAATAAAATTAACAAAAGTGTGCAAAACAACGGCGTCAGAGGTCCTTTAACTTCAGGGTGAGAGGAGAATCAGCATCAGCTCAAAGCTGATTCCTAGGGTGGGAAGGTCGGGCATACCTCCACTCTCCGACCTTTTCACTGCTTCTGACACCAGCCATCCTCCCCACGGCACTCTCTACTTCTCTCTGGGTTTGATAATTCATTGCAGTGGCCACACAGAACTGACAGACCATACTCAGAATTATGGGGTTTATTAGGGAAGTAACAGGTTACAGTTCAGGATCAGGATCAACTTGGAAGTAACAGGAACAACTCAGGATACAGTTCTTTGATCAGGACAGCTTCTTCTCGGCCATGCTCGCAGACAGGCTTCTGCCACCGGGCCCTGCTCAGGCCTGGCCTCTGCCCTGCTCAGCCAAGTATTACAGCTCTTAGCTCCGTGGGCTGGCAAGCCTACCATGCCATCTCATATCAGTCTCCTGGTTCTCCTGCTGCCGTTTCTCTGCCACTGGACTCTGCTGTGCTTGCCGCCACTTCTTGCTGTCTCTCCATCTCGCCATCTCATACCATCTCCAGTTACGGCTCTGTCTCCTGGGTCTAGGAGGTTCTCAGTGCAGGAACCCCTGGTGCAAAGGATGCGCTCTGCTCCCACCTCTGCTTCTTGATGGTAGTGAGGTCCTCCCCCAAACTCTGGAATTGGCTGTTTTTAAACCTAGTGAGATAACAAAACTGACCAATCCCTTTGGGGGGCCACAGGCACCTTATTTGCATATACCAGCCAATCCTGGCAAGAGTTTTACACACCTTATTTGCATAGTCCCAACCAGTCATTTAATGTGAGTTACAAGACCATGGCTAGAAAGGCCATAGAAAAGTGATTCATTACACCACAAAGTGCAAGACTTATACTCTGAAAACTACAAAACGTTGAAATAATTCAACATCTAAATAATTGGAAAAACATCTCACATTCATGGATTAGAAGACAACATTGTTAAGATGGTCATGCTCCCCAAATTGATCTACAGACTCAACACAATCATCAGAATCCCGGTGGACTTCCTTGTAGACACACACACACACACACACGTTAAATATATAAAACATACATGGTATGTATATGCTTTTCTCTGTATATTCTGGGCATTTCCCATAGGAAAAAGGAAAAGAAGGCAGAGCCAGGCCAGGTGGATGGGACCAGATTGCAGGAGTCCTTCCCCCAGAAATACTGCGAATTTCCTGACCCTGGCCTCACCCTCTGCATGGTCTACATGGCACAGGGCCTTTTGCCCGGGTCCACTCCTGGGCTGAGGCAAGAGTGCCCCCCAACACACACAGCTGGCAAGGCCGGTGCAGGTAGGCGCCAGCAGCCCTGGAGGCTCTGAGAGCTGACACAACCCAGCGGGTACCTGAAGCTGGCCCAGCATAACCCACACCAGAAACCGTGAGTGAGCAAGCCTGCCCCCTGCCCTCCTAGGATGTGACCTGACATTGAGGGCCTCAGGACGGTCTGGGGCTGGGGGGTTCAGCTTGCCGAGACCTGGCAGAGCTGACCCATTAATGAGACAGACAAGCTCCAGGAGCAGCAGGGTGGGCTCCTGGGTGCTCAGGGTCTGGCCCCGCCTGCAGCCCACACCACTGCACACCTTGGCCCACTCCTCTGCTTTGGCCCAAAGAGGCGAGTGTGTCTTTACTGCTCTCGTGTTCCCCCTGGCCGCTGGTCTCTCTGCTGGACAGAGATCCAGGGGGTCTCCTGAGTCCATGGCCGCCTCTGACTCCGCAGGGTCCACCACAGGACCTGACATCAGGACAGTCCCCGTAGGTGGCCGCACAGACATCCCTGGAGCCCTCTCGCTTTTGACAAGTTGCTTCAGCAAACAAGCCCCCTACCCGCCCCCCACCCCATGAGATCAACCCTCCTTTGTGCCTCCACAAGGGCCTCCCTCATCCCAGAGGTGGCTGGGGGACCAAGTCTCAGAACAAAGGAGCTGGTGACGCCTCAGCAGGGGCCTTTGGGGTCGAGCCTCTCTGGGTAGGTCTCAGGGGTCAGAAATGGTCACCAGGGATAAACCGCATGCTCACCCCCACCTCCTCTGCAGATTCCGCAGGTGGCCACAGGCATCTGCTCCCTGCTCCACATAGGTGTGTGCCCAGAGTCTCATGTGCCCCCACCCAGCTGCCCGCATCACAGGGGTGTGAGGGCATGTGGGGTGGTGGGCTGTGTGCAGGGACCCCTGTTTCACTGTGAGACCCCACGTTAGAATGGAAAACGGGGAGCTAGGGTCATACTGGACGGCGGGCACCCCACACCTTCCTCAGGGGCCGGTTTCATCGTCAAATTCGAGAAACAATCGCTTTGGATTATTATCCCCAGAATCACGGAGACGCCCCTCCAAGTGGGCATGATCACCTCAGCTGTAGAACTTGGCACCGACTGCCGTGTCCTGCGACCTCAGATCCGAGAAGAAAATCAGAGCAATTGATACTCACCTGGCCTTAAACGGCAGCCGATGAGCACAGGAGGCCATGGGGAGTGCGGGGTGCTCTCCGAAGCCCCGGCCCCGCCTGGGGCTCCTTGTGTCCTGCGGTGCCACCTTCCCGGTGTATTCGCTGACTGCCAGTGGCTCGGTCTCCCTGAAGATTGGCGGCAGTTGGGCTTCGGGTTCAAACAGCCCAGGTTTCAGGGTTCTCAGCTGCGGAAGGAGGGCGTGGGCGCCCCTCTCCCTTCTCATCCGATACTCAAATTTCAGGAACTGACTTCATTTCTCTTTAAAAATCGGGCATGAGTTTTCACTTTTCAAGGAAATACCGAGAAAATATCCAAAAATACTAATACGCCGTTTAATGCAAGGGTAGCTTTGCAACTTCCCGGCGTTGTAATCCCAGCAGAAGGACTCGGTTCAGGCTACAGTAACCGCGGTGGTTTTCCTGCGCGCTCTTCCTGCTGCCCCCGCGCCTCCCGGTGCAGTCCACTCGCGGTCATCACTCGTAGAGACAAGGGCGGGGTCACTTTTCCCCGGGTCGCATTTTCCGGTGGTGAGCCCACACAGCCAACATGGTTTACAGCCTTCCTCGTCTCGGCTCCGAGGTGGGAGAGAGAGAGGGGAGGAGGGCTTGCCGGCAGGGCCAGGTCCAGCTGCCGGCTGTGAACCCCCCACCCTCCCAGGAGACATCTCCGCGAGGCTCACAGCGCGCACCCAGGTTGAAGCGTCGGTGGTTGTGGCTGAAGCTAGCATGGAAACCACCCCGTGGGCTTTCTCGTCCCGCGGCCAGCAGGCAACCCAGAAGGTCCCCGATTCTGAGTCGGAGGTTTGGAGGCCGCCCAGGGGCAGACTGTCGTAAAGGGTCGGACC